TTCCTTCTTTTCCTCTCCCTTTCCTTCTTTTTCTCTGCTTCCTTCCCTCCCATATTCCTTCTTCCCCTTTCCTTCCTTCCTTCCCTCTTCTCTCTTCATTCTTTCCTTCTTTTTCTCGGCTTCCTTCCCTCCCATCTATTCCTTCTTCCCCTTTCCTTCCTTCTTTCCCTCTTCATTCTTTCCTTCTTTTATTCGGCTTCCTTCCCTTCCATCTATTCCTTCCTGATCTTTTCCTTCCTTCCTTCCTTCCCTTTTCTTTCCTTCTTTTCCTCTCCCTTCTTTTTCTCTGCTTCCTTTCTTCCCTCCCATCTATTTCTTCTTCTCCTTCTTCCCTTTTTCTTCCTTCCCTCTCCCCTCTTCATTCTTTCCTTCTTTTTCTCAGCTTCCTTCCCTTCCATCTATTCTTTCCCAATCTTTTCCTTCCTTCCTTCCTTCCCATCTATTCTTTCCTGATCTTTTCCTTCCTTCCTTCCTTCCTTCCTTCCTTCCTTCCTTCCTTCCTTCCTTCCCATCTATTCCTTCCTTCCATCCTTCGTTCCTCTCCCCCCCTCTTTCTCTCTCCCCCCCTCTCTCTCACATTTAGACAGCCACCCATCTCACTAAACAAGGCTCTGGCTGGCATACAATCAATAATGAAAACCACGTCCCAACTATCAAAACACTCTAAAATATGTAGATATCTAAACAAATTGTGTAAGCAAGGAAATAAAAAGAAGATTGCAGGCGGGGCACAAAAGATAAAAAGACAAGATGGGCCAAAAGGGGAGCAAAGGTTGGGAATGGTTTGGAGGCAAGGGGAAGCGGGGTGCTCTGGCTGAGGAATTCTGGGAGTTGAAGTCCAGAAGTCATCAAAGGGCCAAGTTTGAAGACCCCCCTGCGCCTAGTCTCTTTAGCAGGAAGGGATGCCAGGATTCGGGAGAAAAGATCTACAGCTTCCAGACGTGGCTGCATAATTCTTCCCCGCCTCCTCTGACTGTACTGGCACAACATCTGGAGATCTCCTTGAGGACTAGAATGCTGAGAGCATTCTTTTAAAAACTCTTGCCTTTTGCTAGCCTGTTCTTTAGCGCTGGCAGCTTTTTTACAAGGAGGGACGGAGAAGCAAAGGACGGCAGCATTGTCTTACTCTCCAGAGGGGGGTCAAAGGCGGAAATCTGGGGGAAAGCCGTTATCCAGATAAGCTACGTTTCTTGGCTAGTCAACCTGGTTCGTGACTGCCGTTTTGCAGGTGGGGGAAACAGCTGCTTCCAAGGAACAATAGCACGGCGAGGCAGAACTGGCCCAGCCATTTTCAATTTCAACCAAATTTTCAATTTCATGCTCAGTTGATCTCTTGCCAAAAAGCTCCAAACTCTTCCTGGCTGGTCTGTTTTGGCCAAGAATTGGCACCTTCCTTGATCACACATAGATCCCCTTGCTCGGATCCCGGGAGGACCAAGTTGCAGAAACTTCTAAGAAGCCACTGATTACCTGCTCAGGTTGAAAAAGGTCTCCCGACTCACCTGGGCTGTAATTTTGCCCGTTTTACGCCATCGGCCACAAGTAACAACATTCACAAGACCTGCAAAGCCAAACTCATCCTGGCTTAGTGTGCGAACCCATCTTTCACGACTCCCAAATAGTCTGGCTTCCAACATCCAGGCAATGTTGAATAAACAAACCCTTGAAATAAATCACCGGCAGCCAAAAGCTTACGACACGATTTATTGAATTTCTGCTCTGCTTTTCCACTCAAGCAAATACAGGTGAGAACCGCGGCCCTACGCTAAGCCATGAATTGCGGTTTAAAAACCACGATCGGGTTACGCTCCGTGCGTTAAGGGAGGACACGGCTGTTGAGGAGGCGAGGTAAACTCAGCCATTCCAGCGTTGTGAATTGTGGCTTAGCACCAGGCTGAGGAGGTTGATCGGGGCTCAAGGGGACAAACAATGGCCAATGCAGAGGGTGCCTCAACTTGCGATCAAAGTTTCTGTCGCTAAGCCAGACAGTTGTTAAGTCACTTTTGCTCCATTTTATGACCTTTCTTGCTACAGGTGTTAAGAGATTCACTCTGGTTGTTAACTTAGTCACACAATTGTTAAGCGGCTTCGCCATTGACTTTGCTTGTCAGGTCGCAAAAGGGGATCACGTGACCCCGGGACACTGCGACCGTCGTAAAGATGAGTCAGTTGCCAAGCGTCTGAATTTTGATCACGTGACCAAGTGTGGAAAACTACTAAGTCACTTTTTTCAGTGCCGTTGTAGCTGTGAACAGTCACTAAATGACCTATTGTAAGTGAAAGAGTGCCAGGATTGTATCCTTTCTTTCAGCCATCGGTGGAAAAACGAATCTGGCTCCTGAAATATCCCTCCACGGCGACACTCTTTGTGTTGAGAAAGTTTTGGGTGAGGCTGGAGTGTGTTGCAAAGACACACCTCGTTGCTGGAAGTGCTTACTCAGCGTTAAAGGTTGTAAAAACTGGGTGTGGGAAAGCGATGAGCGCATTTATTTGAGGCAGGCCAGCACCAGGCTACGAAATTCAGCTTCACTGTTCTTCGATCGCTTAGTGAGTCTCTTCTGGTGTCAATCAAGCGGGGGCAAATTGAGGATTTAACACCCCCCCCCCAGATTGGAGAGTCTCATTCCCACGTTCATTTTCCAAGCGGGAGGACCTCACAGGGGTTCGGAAATTCCAGGCGCGTCCGAGAAACAAAACGGGTTCGGACACAGCAAAGATTGAGGCAAACTAGATAGGCGATGTCACAAATCTATTTGTTCGCCACCCCAACAGCAAGCACGATCGGAGTAAAATATGGCAGCGTGCGGAAAGCAGCGTAATTTCCCCCCAAATGTAGGCAAAAAGGACAAAGTTTGGTAAGGTTTTCCCAAATCCGGGTAAACCCCGGTTTGCTAAATAACCGTCTTAGGTTGAATTCGCCCATCCCCGTACCCGAAATTAAACCGTTACAGAGTATGCTTTAAAGCAGTATTTTTCAGCCTTGGCAATATAAAAAGTGGGTGGACTCCTTGACTAAACTCCCAGAATTCCCCAGCCCCAGCATGCTTTAAGGTGTGTGAACTTCAAGTCCCAAAATCCCCCCCTGCGATTTTTTATTTTATTTTAGTAAACAAATTAAATAAAGTTAAATGGGAATTGAAGTCCAGATACCTTGAAGAATGCTGGCTGGAAAATTGTGGGAGTTGTAGTCAATTCAAAGCAAGCTGGCTGGGGCATTCTGGGAGTTGTAGTCTAGTTGTCTCAAAGTATGCTGGATGAGGAATTCTGGGAGTGGAAGTCCACACATCTTAAAGCAGACTGGCTGGGGATTTTGGGAGCTGAAGTCCACCCATCTTAGATGCTGGCTGGGGGATTCTGGGAGTTGAAGTCCCCCTATCTTAAAGCATGCTGGCTAGGGAATTCTGGGAGTTGAAGTCCCCCCATCTTAAAGCATGCTGGCTGGGGAATTCTGGGAGTTGAAGTCCCCCCATCTTAAAGCATTCTGGCTGGGGAATTCTGGGGGTTGAATTCCCCCCATCTTAAAGCATGCTGGATGGGGAATTCTGGGAGTTGAAGTCCAGAAGTCTGAAATGGGCAAAAACTGCCTATTCCCACCGCAGGAGATTAGGAGAAACCCAAGAAAATGTGAATTGGCCAATCCTGGTTTGTTGAAAGAGTCTTGGGGGGGGGGGGAAGCTATGAAACTCGACAGAGGGATTGTTAAGGTTCCCATGCATATTATCAGAGCAGCCTTTAGGACAACACTAAGAGACGCACACAGCAAGCGGGACAGGACCCAGCCTCTCCCCAGGACCGGGGGATCCATTTTCCCCAGTCCAGATTTATTTAAATATTGGGTCATAGAGTTCTCTTCCTGTAAGGCAGCGTCCTGGCTGCCGGCCCCATCACACAAAGAGAGCTTGGGTGAGTGCAGGATTCAGGCTTCATAAATTAAAATAATGTGTTTTCTCTCTCTATACAAGGCAATCCCATTCTGGCCAGGGTGGGCTCTCCGGCCCGGCAGAGACGTCCACCCCCGTTGTGGTACCTGGATGGGGGAAGCTGGTCTCACACCTCGATGCGGGGATCGGAGCCGTGTCCCTGCTTCTGCAACAGCTCCTCCTGTTTCATCTTAGGCTTCTCGGTGCGGGTGTGCCAGACGAGGACCTGAAAGAGAGAGACGGGGGTGGTGCTTCCTCACTGCCTGAGGATCGGTCTACAGGTAGTCCTCAATTTATGACCACTACTGGGGGGCAGAAGGGTCCGTTGATGAGCAAGGCGGTTAAGGGAGGTCCTTGGTGCTCTACAGTTGTTTTAAGGGAACCAGGTGGCCATTAACCGAATCCTGGCTTTCCCCAACTGATTTTGCCGGCTGGGGAGGCCGTCCTAACCTTGGTGCAGTTGTCCGCCTTCGGCTCCAGCTCCTCCATGGAGACCAGGGACTGCAGGAGGCTGCTCTCCAAGTAGCCGCGCTCGGCCAGCAAGTCGAAGCGAGCCTCCGGGTTGGCCAGGAGCAGCGACAGGGCTATGGCGAAGCCCGCCATGTCAACGGGGAAGGGCCTGTTGGGCTTCCACGCCGTGTAAAAGCCGGTCACTTTGCCCTTTTCCACCAGGGGCCGCTCGAAACGGAGGCCTCCCACCAGGCCAACAGGCCAGACCGAGACCCTCTTGGTGGAGCGGATCTGTCGGGAAGAGAAAATCAGCATAAGAACTTCAGCGCAACAGTCTTTGCCTCCTTCCTTAACCATAGTTTAACGATTAAACCATTAACTCTTCCCGACAGTGAGTTTGCCTCTTTTCTTTGCAGGATCCTGGACCCGCAACTGCTCTAAAGAGCCTTCTCAAACGCCTCGGCTTACAACCGTTCATTTAGCAACCGTTCAAAGTTACACTGGGCCTGAAAAAATTACGACCGGTGCTCACTCTTTTCTTTTTTTCTTTTTTTTGGGGGGGGGGTATAGATTTTATTAGTTTTTATAGGTTATGGGGTAAGGTAGGATCGGGGTTAGGGTTGGGGTTTTTCCCAAATAACATTTTCAATATTTAGCAAACAGCATAATGTCTGGGTACATGTATTTCACAATAATATATATATATTTAACTATAATAGATATAGTTAATTACCATAAACAATATGTTAATTCATCACTCAATAACCTTCTTACTAATATAAATTCAAAATTACAGATCACATTCCTTTCTCTCTGACTCGTTTTTCTAGCCATTGATTAAAAAATTTCCCACGTTCTAAAGCAGGGCTTTTCATCCTTTTCACCCATTGTACCACTTTTAGGATATGGCAATATCCGAGTACCACCAGTCGCCTAGCAAGGTGTCAAAAACTTGATGACCAAAACAAAAAAAAGGAAAAAACTGATAAAGTACAGGTAGTCCTTGATTTACAACAGTTCGATTAGTGACTGTTTGAAGTTACAATCGCACTGAAAAGAGTGCCCCCCCCAAGCCACAGCCGAGCAAGACACCTGCCTGCCCACCCAGCGGCGCTCTTCCTCCTGTCTGAGGTTTTCATTGTTGTGAGCATTTCTGTTGAGGATTGGCAGCGGGGGTGGGGTGGGAGGTGTTTGGTTTTTATTCCCCTCGTCTGCTGGGTGGTTGCAGCAGGTTTTGGTTACTTCACATGACCCTGGGACACTGCGACCGTCATAAATATGAATCAGTTGCCAAGCATCTGAATGTAATCACAAGACCCTAGAGATGCTGCAACATTCCAGCTGATCGGCGCTTCTTCTGCGCTCAGCAGAAGCACCAGGATCAGCTCTGAGCTCCAGCTGGAGCCTGGCGCTGATCCTGGCGCTTCCACTGAGTCCTGACAGCCCTGAAGAAGCGCCAATCAGCTGGAAAGCGGCACTGATCCTGGCGCTTCCACTGAGCCCTATGTAACTATGTAACGTTGAATATATACTAGTAAGAAGGCTTCTGAGCGATTAACTAACATATTGATCATATAGAAATTATTACTCATTGTTTTTTAAATACATGAACCCAGACAACATGCTGTTGGCTAAATATTAAGAATGTTATTTTAAAAAAAACCTAACCCTTACCCTAATCCTAATCCTATAAAAATTAATAAAATATACATATATATATAAAAAAAACGGGATACTTGGCAACCGGCATGTATTTATAACAATAGCCCTTAGACTTATATACCACTTTATAGTGCTTTACAGCCCTCTCTAAGCGGTTTACAGAGTCAGCCTATTTGCTGACCTCGTCAAAGAGGCGAAGGCTGTAGGTGTTGTCGTCATCCGCAAAGTACACCACGCCGGCGTCGGTCAGCTTGCGGTGCTGGCGCAGCCACTGCAGAGCCAGATTCCGCTGCTCCACGCCGCGCGGCTTCAGCCAGTTGGGGTCGGTCTCCTTCCGCTGGTGCTCCTTGGGGGTCTCGGCGTGGAGGTGGGTGAAAGGCAGCTTACTTTGGGCCAGCAACTCGGAGACCAGCTGGGTCCGGCTGGGCGAGTCCTCCACCACGATCCAGTGCAGGTTTTTGACGTGCATCAACGTCTGGGAGAGCCGGACCAGTTCGGCTTTCTGAACCAGCCTGCAAAGCGGGAAGGAGCGATCGAGCGGTTGTGTGAGATGCTTGGGTCAAACAACAGAGAGTGGGTTTTTTTCTTTTCTTTCTCTCCATCTTTCCTCTCTCCTCCCTCAATCCCTCCCTCTTTCCTTTCTCCCTCCCTCCCTTAAGCACTAGTCATTTGCTTAGAATGAGGACTCGAATCCTTCTTTCCTTCCTCTGTCCCTGTTTTCCTTCCTTCCTCCCTCCCCTCCCTCTTTCCTTCCTTCTCCCCTTTCTCCCTCCCTCCTCCATGTCTTCCTTCCTTCCTTCTATCCATACATACATCCTCCATTAAAACAGTAAATTAATAAGACAATCCTTACTGAAAACCACTATATACTCTGTCTGTCTATCTATCTTCCATTAAAACAGTAAATAAGACAATCCTTACTGAAAACCATTATATAATTCTGTCTGTCTGTCTCTCTCTCTCTCTCTCTTCCATTAAAACAGTAAATAAGACAATCCTTACTGAAAACCATTATATAATTGTCTGTCTGTCTGTCTGTCTATCTATCTATCTCTCTATCTATCTTCCATTAAAACAGTAAATAAGACAATCCTTACTGAAAACCATTATATAATTGTCTGTCTGTCTGTCTGTCTGTCTGTCTCTATCTTCCATTAAAACAGTAAATAAGACAATCCTTACTGAAAACCATTATATAATTGTCTGTCTGTCTGTCTGTCTCTCTCTCTCTATCTTCCATTAAAACAGTAAATAAGACAATCCTTACTGAAAACCATTATATAATTGTCTGTCTGTCTGTCTGTCTGTCTGTCTGTCTGTCTCTATCTTCCATTAAAACAGTAAATAAGACAATCCTTACTGAAAACCATTATATAATTGTCTGTCTGTCTGTCTGTCTCTCTCTCTATCTTCCATTAAAACAGTAAATAAGACAATCCTTACTGAAAACCATTATATAATTGTCTGTCTGTCTATCTATCTATCTATCTATCTTCCATTAAAACAGTAAATAAGGCAATCCTTACTGAAAACCATTATATAATAATTGTTCAAAAGATTTAAGAACAAAGCTAAACCAGGGAAGGAGAATGAGAGACGGAGGGACGCTGATACTAAGGGAGCCATCCCACGAGTTCACCTGTCCCCCGGAGTCCCCTGGCCTGCTGTCATAACCAAGGCTTGAGGGACCTTCGGAAGCTGAGGAGCGACGAGGCCAAACTCCTCTCTGAAGGGAGAAGATTCCACAATACTGGCAGAAATGATATCACTGGAGACCAGAAAAAGGAGCGAGAGGGCCAAACAATTCCAAGAGGACTGATTTCTGGAATAAGGCTCAACATCATCCTCTAGGAAGTTCCGTCACCTACCTGGCATAGGTGGGCGTGACTACATAGATGACCACCGGTGTCTCTTCTATCGGTCCCAGCACCTTTTCCAGGCCCTGCAGCCGCTTCACTTCTCTTTGCAACTGGGACAGTCGCTTCTCCTTGGCGTGGATGAGGTCGCTAGCAGCCTTCAGGTGTTCGCTGCAATCACAGGGCTGCCCTACAGCCAGACAAAAGGAATCCTGCAGTGTGAAGCCGCTCCATCGTCTCCTTTGCATTTCCCAAGTCTATACAGGTAATCCTTTTTTTCCCCTTTTATTATTTATTACAGCAACTAAGATAAACTAAGATCTATCAAAGCAGCTAAGATGATTAAGGGCCTGGAGACTAAAAAAATTATGAAGAACGGTTGCAGGAATTGGGTAGGGCCAGTCTAGAGAAAAGAAGGACCAGGAGGGACTTGATAGCTGCATTCCAGTATTTGAGGGGCTGCCACAAAGAAGAGGAGGGGGTCAACTTATTTTCCCAAGTACCAGAAAGGCAGGACAAGAAACAATGGATGGAATCTAAGCAAGGAGAGATCCAACCTAGAAATAAGGAAAAAATTCCTAATAATGAGAACAATTAACCGGTAGAAAAGCTTGCCTCCAGAAGTTGGAGGTTTTTAAAGAAAAGATTGGACAGCCGCTTGTCTGAAATGGTGTAGGGCAGTGGTTCTCAACCTTTTTAATGCCGCGACCCCAACCGGTCGTAAGTTGAGGACTAAGCCGGTCATAAGTCGAGGACTAAATCAGTCGTAAGTCAAGGACTACCCAACCGGTCGTAAGTCAAGGACTTTCCCTGCCCGGGAGCACCGCGCATGCGTGGTTCCGCCCCCTGCGCCGGCCGAGGTGTAGCTGGCAAGCGGCAGAGACGGAGCAGGCCGACCACCAGCTGGCCCAGCCCAAGGGAGGTAAGGCACCCGCCGGAAAAGGGGAAAAAATTGGCGGACAAAAAAAATGGCGGACAGCCTTGCTTGGCGACCCCCATGAAATGGTCGATCGACCCCAAATGGGGTCCCGACCCACAGGTTGAGAACCACTGGTGTAGGGTCTCCTGCTTGAGCAGGGGGTTGGACTAGAAAACCTCCAAGGTCCCTTCCGGCTCTATTCTGATTGAAATATTTATCCATCCATCCATCCGATTTATTTGCCGTCCATCTCACCATGGGGTTATTATTAAATTTATTTGCCCCTATCTCGTTTCAAAGCGACTCTGGACTTACAATCATTCGTTTAGCGATCATTTGAAATTACAATGGAACTAGGGACTTATGACCGATTTTCGCATTTATGACCGTGGTAGCATCTCCATGGGAAATTAAGGCACTTGGCAACAACTGCAGTAACTGACTTAACAAGGGTGACAAGCAAGGTTGTAAAAGGGGCAAAACTTGCTTAAGGATCATCTTGCTTGGCAATGAAAATTTTGGGCTCAGTTAGGTTGTAAGTCAGGGACTACCTCTACAAACCCAGACTTTTATCTATCCTGTTGGCAAGGAGAGAGACATTCTTGACCCCAATTCTGATACTCACCCAACTGCAGCAAGGCGTACATGAGGCCAGTCACAGACACCAGGAAATAGACGACAAAAACATTTTTTAATTTCACCTTCATGGCACAGCCTAAGGAAAAAGAGAGAGAAAGAGGCAAAATGCCATTTGTTAAAACCAGGTCTGGATATCGGCCTCCCATTTTACTACGGTTAACTCTGGGTGGTTGACATGAATAGAACTGTCATTATTCTATAACTGAATTTTTTTAACCCTAATTTTGAGGTTCATTTAAGGTATTTTTAATTTCTGTTACAATGATTGTGCACCATCCAATGCCCCTCTTTGAGGCATATGGTTAAGATATATGAAATATAAATGAATTTCTAGCTAAGGAAGCACCCTATCCTGCTTCTTGCTAAAAAATTTAAGCGCTTAATTTTCCATTTTTTTTCTCCCCCTGCTTAATGCTCTCCCATCTAACCTGCCACAGGGTTTCCCATAAAGGCCTACTGTGCTACTATAACTCCCATCATCCCCAGACCCGCTTTCCTTCATCCAGAACCTCACATCACACCCAGCCAACTCTTCCTACTGTACTATGAGGTAGCTCTTGCCTCACTCTGCACCTTCTCGGGAGAGACTACAACGCCCATCATCCTCCCACCCACCTCTTGCGTCCAAGAGTCAGGGTTGCTGCACTACAACACCCATCATCCCCTCCTCAGCCTCCAAGAGAGATGCGAAGCGGCTGTCCCCGGCCTGTCCACCTCTAAATGCACTGGCATAGAACCCATCATCCACCGCCTGACTTTGCGGGGGGGGGGAAATGCAGGTCAGAGTATCAAGGAGGGCGCCAGGTTGGGGAAAGCATCTCCCCTCTGTCGTTCCACCTATCTGCGCAGGCGCAGTTATGTCGCACCCCGAGGTTCCACCACGGCCCGGCCGCGGGAAGGACGGCGGGGAGACGGTGTAACACCGTTACCATGGCAACGGAGCCAAGGCCTAAGCTCACCGCTTGCGGTTGCCGCCTGCGAGGGCGAAGGAGGAAGTGGCGGCCTTTCTCCTCAGCTCGTCAAAGCCCTTCCATCTTATTTGGGGGTCCGCGCTTTCTTTCCCTCACCCTCCTGCTCGCCCGTCAGGCCACTTCCGGTCCGTCCGCTTTCGTACTCCTTCGGCGTCCGTCGCCATCCGGGATTCCCGGAGCAACAACTTCCGGCCTCATCGGTTTTCCTCAGAACACGCCCCGCCCACCTGTTCAAAAAGCATCTCAAAAGAATACCCGTCCATACATTTTGGGTTTGTGGGTGGGGCGCGAGAGGAGGGATTCAAAAAGAGGCGGGAAAAAAGGGGAGACGCGCGCAAGAGAGAGGCTGAGAAGACGAGCGGGCGGTGGTGGGGTGACAGAGGGGCACAGAAGAGAGAAGCGCACGAGAAGCCGAGCAGACGAGTGGGACGAATAGAGCGGCTAGGGGAACCGTGCAGCGGAGTGGCTGAGAGAAGCGCGAGAGAAGCCGAGCAGAGGAGTCGGTCGGATAGAGCGGCCAGGGGAGCCGACCAGCGAGTGGCTGAGAGAGAGAGGCATCTCAACAGAAAGGGATGGAGCCCAGCAGGGCGGGATGAAGCAGAGCTGAAGAAGCTTCTTGGATGAGAAGCGAAACGTCTTCAAAGGAAAACAAGAAAGTTCAGTTGCCTCCTGGAAAAAAGACACATCTTGCCAGGCAGCTTACACAACCACCCTGTTAGGCTCTACTTAAGTGTATTAAAAGAGAAAGAGGCACCCTGAACTCATGAAAGCAGTGGGAGAAAGAGGAGCCATAGGAGAGGTCAAGAAAAACCAGAGTTGTCTCTAGATCAGGGGTGGACTTCAACTCCCAGAATTCCTCAGCCAGCCTCCATTTTGTTTATTAGATTTAAGACAGGGTTCTTTAAACTCAGCCCTTTTATGACTTGTGGACTTTTGCTTTGTTTTGTTGTATGTGTGTGTTACGTATGTGTACACTTTTGAGAGCAACAGAATTTCATATTTAATGGGTGCCAGTGTGCCCATAGTAAAAAATGACAAAGGTTATCTATCTATCTATCTATCTATCTATCTAATTAATCATCCTATCATTCTAAATCTATCATTCTATCAATCGTTCTATCTGTATATTCTATCAGTCTATCGTTATATTCTGTATCATTCTACCTATATCAATCCATCAATCTCTATCATTCTATCTAAATATCTATCATTCTATCTATACATACACATACATATTCTATCAGTCTATCGTTACTATATCATTCTACCTATATCAATCCATCAATCTCTATCAATCATTCTATCTAAATATCTATCATTCTACACACACACACACACACACACACCAGTGGTGGGATTCAGCTGGTTGCACCACTTCGGCAGAACCAGCAGCTAATTTTTTTGTTGCCCAGGCCCAGAATGGATTTCCAGAAGCAGCATCCACACAAAGAACCAGTTGTTTACATACTTGAATCCTAACACTGACACACACACATATACACACACATACATATCTATATGTACACTTTGAAAGGAAGCAACTAAATTTCATTTTTAATGTCTGCCCTTGTGCCCACAGGAAAAAAACGACAATAAAGGTTATCTAATCTATATCCATCATTCTATCGATCTATTTTATCTATAATTGTGGAGGAGAGGGGGGGATACTAGTGGCCCTTTTGGGAGAAGGGCTACAAAAAGAATGAAAATGTTTTTTAAAACAAATCTTTAAAAAGGATTGCTCGCTACGATTTCACTGGAAGGTAACCTCCCACCCTAATGGAATAGCAATAGGAATAAATTCTCAAGGAAAGACCATTGCAGCAAAGGTTTTTTTTTTTAAGAGAATAAAGTTTAAATTTTAAAAAGCGCCTTAGCTTCCTTGAAATCGCCTTCTCTTAAAGAAGGAATGAAAATGAATTTTTAAAAACTCTTTAAAAAGGATTGCTCACTTACTATGATTTCATAGGAAAGTAACTAGTGTAATAGTAATAGCAATAAGTTCTCAAAGGAAGACCATTGTAAAGTGTTTTGGGGTTTTTTTGCTTCCTTTCCCAGCAAAATCTGGTATTTCTGACCAAACAGCCTTGATTGCCAGAAAAAGCAGCGTTTGATCCATTTTTCTTTTAACATAAAAGTAGCCTCCAGATTAGCTGAAATCACAACGGCGAGACTTTACGGCATTTTTATTTTTCATTCTCCATCTTTTTATCAAAACACTCAAGTCGGTAAAAGATTTACCTGCGGATGTCATGGCAATCAGGAAGGGATAAAAAAAGATTTTGGTGTGTGTGTTACGAAGGAATTTTTTTTCCCTAAAAGCCCTGCTCTGTGCCTATTTTTTCTTTTTTTGCCCGTAAACATGTAAAGGGAGAAACCCGCCAGAATCAGGAATGTTAAATCCACACAGACACCTAGGGATAATAAAAAAAACCCACAAAACGAAAGCTTTTGGGTTGTAGACAGGAGCGAAGCCCGGAGGCAGGAATGGGAGAAAGGAGGCAGAGCAGCTACAAGGAAAACCAAAAAAAAAATTCTAGCCCCTCTCCCAGGAAGATGGACCCCCTGCTTTTCTGTTTCCTGCAAGGAAGAGGGTGCTTCTACAGCAGCTCATGCCACCCCCCCATCTTTCCTTGATCCCTGTGCAGGATTAGTCATTTCCACTTGCTCACAAGTCTAAGCCTGGTTCCTAACAAACAACACCCCCCCCTTTTTTATCTTCACATGATCTGTCTGATCTGCCCTCCCCACCAAAAATAAAAATAGCCATAAATAGAAGCGACAGTGATTCACTGACACCTAGGTTGCCTCCCTCCCTTAGAAACAGAGGTAACCCCTCTCTGGAAAAAAAAAGGGAGGGGGATTTAGCAGGGGGATCCTCTTGGGAAGGGCAGGGATTAGGCCGACATTCTGTGGTCTGGCTGCGTGCACAAGCTCTTGCAAACTGCAAGGGGTTTAAATACGGGGATGGTGGAGAAAAACAAAAAGTTTTAGTACGTTCACCATCAATTGGACTGCTGTTTGGGTTTCCCCCCCCCCCCCATAATTGGTCCAGGAACTGATTGAAAACTTCAGCCAGAATAAGTGGGCAGAGATGAGGGGAAAATGGGGGGTGGGGCAGAGAGCCAGAACCACCAGCTTTGGAAAGAGGCAAGCCAGATTTGCATTATCCAGAAAAATAATGGGGAAGGGGAGATAGGTGGGAGGGGCGGGGGGTGTGGGCCCCCAGCCCCCAGAGGGAAAACGAGTTGCAATCCAGCGTCTCCAGGAGAGTCCTCCATTTTACAGCAAATATTGCTAAAAGTTGGAGGGAGGGAGGAATACAGACACCGGGGAGACAGGAAGGGAGGGAAGAGGGAAGGGAAGAAGGAAGGAAGGAAGAAGAGACGGAAGGAGGAAGGAAAAAGATGGGAGTGGAGAAAGGAAAGGGAGGGAAGAAGGGAAAAAAGGGCAGGGAGGAAGGGACGAAGAAAGGAAGGAAAGGAGGAAGAAAGGAAGGAATAGAGGGAAGAAGAGAAGGGCAAAAGGAAGGGAAGAGGAAAGGAGGAAGAAAGGAAGGAATAGAGGGAAGAAGAGAAGGGAAAAAGGAAGAGAAGAGGAAAGGAGGAAGAAAGGAAGGAAGGGAGGGAAAAGAAGGGAAAGAGGAAGGAATAGAGGGAAAAAGGGGGGAAAGGAAGGAAAGAGGAAAGGAAGGAATAGAGGGAAGGAAAAAGGGGAGAGAGCGGAAAGGAAGGAAGGAAGGAAGGAAAGAGAGGAAGAGAAGGATAACAAGAGCAGAGGAAAGGAAAGGAAAGATATCCCTCTTCCTTCTCATGCCTTCTGAACTTGGGACACTGGACCATAGATACAGTGGCAGTAGGGCGCGTCCAGATCTACCTGCCCCATGGATCGGGAATAGGATCCTGACCTAGAGCTCTTCGACTCCCACCCCAGCCCCGCCCCTCCACACATCCCCCTGCCCCTCTGCCCAGCTAATTCTTGTCTCCCCCGCCCCCCGCCATTATCGTAGCGAGATGCTCCAGTCTTCTCCGACGTTCACGGCAGGCTTGCGGATGGTTAAGACGGAGGATTCGGCTTCGTGGCTGAAATCCAGGCGGGTCTCGCCGGCTCCTGGACGATGGGAGGTGAGAAGGGGGGGGGGAGAAGAGAGAAGGAAGCTAAGTCTCAGCCAGAATAAGAATAACAGAGTCGGAAGGGACCTGGGAGGTCATCTAGTCCAACCCCCTAGTTCGGGGACCACATGCCATCAGGATTGGAGTAAGGACTAGTGGTGTGCCAAAATGCGCTCCTCATTTCCGTCTTTGCCCCATGAAAAGAATAACAGAGTCGGAAGGGACCTGGGAGGTCATCTAGTCCAAAGCCCTGCTCAAGCAGGAGACCCTTACAGAAACATAGAATAGCAGAGTTGGAAGGGACCTCAGAGGTCATCTAGTCCAACCCCCTGCTCAAGCAGGAGACCCTTACAGAAACATAGAATAACAAGAGTCGGAAGGGACCTCAGATGTCATCTAGTCCAACCCCCTGCTCAAGCAGGAAACCCTTACAGGAACATAGAATAGCAGAATGGGAAGGGACCTCAGAGGTCATCTAATCCAACCTCCTGCTCAAGCAGGAGACCCTTACTGAAACATAGAATAAAAAGAGTCGGAAGGGACTTCAGAGGTCATCTAGTCCAACCCCGTTCAAGCAGAAGTCCCTTACTGAAACATAGAATAACAAGAGTTGGAAAGGACCTCAGAGGTCATCTAGTCCAACCCCCTGCTCAAGCAGAAGACCCTTACTGAAACATGGAATAACAGAGTCGGAAGGGACCTCAGAGGTCATCTAGTCCAAACCCCTGCTCAAGCAGGAGACCCCTGTCTCTTCTTAAAAACTTCCAATGTTGGAGCACCCACAACTTCCGGAGGCAACTTCCGTTCCACTGGTTAAATTGTCCTCAACGTCAAGAAATTCCTCTTTCATTCTAGGTTGCTCCTCTCCTTGATTAGCTTTCCTCCAGGAAATCATTTACTACTTCCACCCAAAAGGAAAAAGTCAACCTGGTGTAACTTTCGCTCCTCCCACCAACTCACCCTGTTGTTTGAGAAAGACGGCCCCCGGTTTGCCCGCGCCGAGGATCACCACCCTTTCGATCCAGGCCGGGGTTTCAAAGCTGCCTTTTGGATCTGCCGTACTGAAATAAAAATTGGGGGGGGGGGGGTATTCAGCAAGAGGAAAAAAGGGGGTGCTGGATGATTTAGGGGAGGGGGAAGAGGAAGAGGAAGAAAAAAAACAACAACTCCTAGACTGGGTACCTGGCCGTCAGCACGTTGCCGGAGAAACGGAAGAGGCGGTGCAGATACTGTCCTTTCGTCTCAAAATTATACGTGTGTCCGTCGTCGACGAAGAGCTCCCCTTGTGCCGTTCCCTGGCAAAATTAGGAAAAGCAGAAGAGACCCAAAATGATTGGGGGATCCCAAGGTGGACTCAGACTCGCATCCTTCCGAGGTTGATAAAACGAGGACCCTTTTCGCCACGGTTGTAAACTGGATCCCTGCAGTTGTTAGTGAAGCACGCAGTCGCTAAGCGAATCCATTGACTTGGCTAATCAGAAGCCAGCTGGGACGGCCACAAGCGGCCGTCACGTGACCCTGGGATCCTGCGGCCATCATAAATACAGGCCACTTGGATCACGTGACCCTGGGGATGCTGCGACGGTTGACTGACAGTTCATCAGTCCCTTTTTTCCCCCCCGAGGGCCGTTGTAAACCAAACGGTTGCTAAACAAATGTTAAGTGAAGAACGACCTGCAAGCATCTCCACGAACAGGGTGGAATCCTTGTCAGGGTCTTCAGGATGTTATCCCAGGGCTAAACAAGCATCTCACAGTCCCCAATCCCCGGTCCGTGGCATGCCGGTCCGCACAAACAAGCGAAGCCCCGTCTGCGGGATGCAGGCAGCACACAAAACCACGCACCCTCCGGTCCGTGGAAAAACCTCTCTCCATGGAACCGGTCCCTGGTGCCCAAAAGGTTTGTGGAGACCTCTGTCCTAAACCTATCCATCCTCCTCCGGGAGAAGGGCGGGGTATAAATTTAATAAAATCTCAAATCTCAAAATCTCACCTGAGGCCCCAAAGCAACGTAGAGCGTGTATGGATCGTCCTGCATGCAGTCCGAAGAACGCCGGACCCGCTCCTTCCGGGCCACGATGCTGCCGCCACGTTGGTAGACGGGAATCTTTGGGAACAGATCAAAGGTTAAGACTTCAGGAGGCTTGGGCAGGGGATGACCAGGCTGAGCCCGACAGAGGGAAGGGTCAAACGTGTCATTAGTCTTGAGTCCCTTCACGCTCGCAACACATCAAAGTCCAGCCCGCCTTGAATTCCTCTGACTTTTATCCCCCACCAATTTTCTTTGACCGTTATTAGCTCGGATTCTTGTAGAGTTGCGTTATCGTGCAATAAACCTGTAAAGGCAGCCCTCGACTGTGCGCCCAAAATTTCAGTTGTTAAATGAGTTTGGCCCCATTTTACGGCCTGTCTGGCCACAGTCGCTAAGGGGATCACTGCAGCTGTTAAGTTAGCCGCACAGTCGTTAAGAGAATCCGGTTTCCCCATTGACTGTTCGTCAGAAGGTCGCCCAAGGGGGGAATCACGTGACCCGTCGTAAATATGAGTCAGTTGCCAAGTGTCTGAATTTTGATCCCATGACCGTGGGGCTGACGCAGCGGTCGTAAGCTGTGCAAAACAGTCACAAATCCCTTTTTTTCAGGACTGTTGTAACTTTGAATGGCCGCTAAATGAACTGTTGTAAGTCGAGGACTGCCTGTGGAAAGGTCTTCTGATTTGACCCCCGAATCTCGGACTTACGCTGCTCATGCTGACCGTCAGATAAAACGTCTGCGGGGCGTGGAGCTTCTGGTGGGTGTGGACGTCGTACCAAACCTGCAGAGAAAAAAAAAAAGTTTTTTTAGAGGATTTGCTGAGCCGGATCTACGGAAAACTTTGGCAGCCCCTGGAGGACTTCTGTCTGAAAAAGCGCCAGGCCGCCGGTGTAAAAGCTTCGCTTCCTGAAGAGGCCCAAAAAATGACAAATTTGGAGAGATGTCAAGCTTCTCTTCCGACAGCTTGTTTTCATAAGATAAACTTGCGGTTTTTGTTAACGTTGTGCTTCAGGGCACAACCGAGGCCAAACGGCTTATTCTGGGATGACGCAATGGCTCTTGAGCTTCCGCACGGCAGGAAATTCTTCTCAGTAGAATATTCCTCATTTTAAAGGGAATTGTTTTTCCCAGCCAGCGTTAACACTGAGAGAGAGAGAGCCATTTTGCTGTAGTGGTTAAAGTTCTGGCTTACAAACTAGGAGACGGTGAGTTCTAGTCCGGCCCTAGGCATGAACACATCTGGGTGCATATGGGCCAATCACCAGGTGAATTCTAGTCCTGCCTTAGGTATGAAAATGACTTGGTGCATATGGTATGGGCCAATCACCAGGAGATGGTGATTTCTAGTTCCAACGTAGCCATGAAAGCTGGCTAGATACCTTTGGCCCAATCTCCAGGAGATGGTGAGTTCTAGTCCAGCATTACGTATGAAAGCCAGCTGGGTGACTTTGCACCAGTCTCTCTGTCCTAAGCCAGCCCACTTTACAGGGTTGTTGTGCATAAAATAGGAAGAGGAAGGGGTGTTAGGAATTTTCACCGCCTCAATTTTTTCTAAGAATAACAAGAGGTGGGATAAACACCTAATAACTAAACAGCTCACTCCAAACTCACCAATCACACTCACCTCTCCTTTGCCAGGTAAATAGATTTGTACACCCCGGGCTCCTTGTGCAGTTACTGGATGAACCAACAACGCATCGCCTGGAAAGGAGATGGTCAATGAGATCTAGAAACTTGAACGAACTGCTTACCATATTTCAAAAAAACAACCAAATTCAGTCCTAATCACAGGACCGGGGCCAGAATGACGGCCGTTTAATTTGTGGAAGTTGTTAAGCAGGTCATCATGTGATTGTGCCCGAATTTGCAACCTTTTTTGTTTTTTTTGTGGCAGACCTTAAAGCGAGCATCATGGTTGTTAAACAAACCCACTATAGCTAATGGGTGTTTGTTTTTTGCTGGAAAGCCTAAGTAAACATTAGTTCCTGGATAAAAACAATGAAAACCATAGGATTTTATCTTTGCCCTTCCTGGTTCTGACATACACGCACGCACGCACTCTCACACGCATGCACTCTCACACACAAACACACACACAAGAAAAACTCACCAAGCAGATACTGGTCATCAATGGCGTACAAGGTAGGGTCTTGGGGGTATTCGACCCACAGCGGTCTGTCAGAAAGCAAAAATTAATATGGGTCGAAATAAGAAAATATCACACAATACCATTGCTAGAAGGAAAAATTATGCCAGACTAGGATTAACTATAATGGTTTGACATAATCAATGCATTGAGAAAACATGATTCACGAGATCAACATAACTTAACATCACACCATCGCTTATAGCAAGGTTTTTGTCAACCTTCCCCGCTTTAAGATGGGTGGATTTCAACTCCCAGAATTCCCCAGTTAAAATGCTTTAAGAGGGGTGGACGTCAACTCCCAAAATCCCCCAGCCAGCATGCTTTAAGATGGGTGGACTTCAACTCCCAGAATCCCCAGGTTAAGATCCTTTAAGATGGGTGGATTTCAACTCCCAGAATTCCTCAGCCAGCATGCTTTAAAATAGGTGGACCTCAGCTCCCAGCATCCTCCAGCCAGCATGCTTTAAGATGGGTGGACTTCAATCCCCACAGTCCCCTAGCTAAAACGGCTTCATGCAAGATATGGACCCGAATCAGCGTCCCTCCATCTCTTTCTCCCTCTTCCCAGCCATTCCACTCACCTCATGACGGGCTGCCCGGTCCGGTAAGATTGATAGAAGAGGGTGTACCAAAAGGGAAGCAGAGCGTAACGCTGGCGGATGGCCTCCCGGATCAGCGCTTTGTTCTCGTCGCCGAAGAGCCAGGGCTCCCGGCGGGTGGTGTCCACGTGTGCGTGCGCCCGGAAGAAGGGCTGATAGGCCCCCGCTTGGTACCAGCGCACCAGTAACTCCGGCTCCGGAGTTTTGAAGAAGCCACCCACGTCAGCTTGAAGCCGGAAGGAAGATGCAGAGAAGGATGGTTTCAATATGGAAAAGACAGGAGAATCAATGGTCTGGGATGGTACAGGAAGTCCTCAACTTATAACCGTTCATTTAGTGACCGTTTGAAATTACAACGGCGCTGAAAAAAGCGACTTATGACCATTTTTCACACTCAAGCCTGTTGCATCCCCAGGGTCACGTGATCAAATTTTGGACACTTGGCAACTGACTCGTATTTATGACGGTCGCAGCGTCCCAGGGTCATGTGATCCCCTTTTGCGACCTTCCGGCAAGCCGGATTCGCTTAACAACCGTGTTATTAATTTAACAACTGCAGGGATTCAGTTAACAACTACGGCAAGAAAAGTCATAAAACGGGGCAAAAGCCACTTAACAAGCGTCTCACTTAACAACATAAATGTTGGGCTCCACTGTGGTCGTTAAGTCAAGGACTACCTGTATTGGCATGTCATCTGCTTACCTCCACAGAAAGAGATGCCCACTAGAGCGAGGCTCAGGCACATGGGTATGGAGATCTTTAGGTGGTCCCATTCGGCTGCGTTATCTCCGGTCCATACAGCCCCTGCAAAGGGCGACAACCACAAAGTGTAACAACAACTAAGACATGGGGGAGAACTGCTGTACATGAGACAAACTGACATCTGTAGGTCTCTTCCCAGCAGGCCTACAATTGTGGGGACCTGAGTTATCACATCTTTGGAACGAGTTTCTCTTCTGGGTCCAGCTTGGAAGACTCTATGACGCAGCTACTCCTTCCCTCATCGTTATGCGCTACTAACCGTAACGTTGTGAACCCGCAAAGAAGCTTCGGGTCAACACGAAGGGCCGCTCCATGCCGCCGGACCGCTGCACCTGTCCCTCGGCGGTCGCCATTTGCTAGTAGAGGAGGGGAGAAGAGGTGGTTATTCAAACCGTTGAAAACTTTGATCCAGAGTCTTGGCCTTCTCTCAACGAGAAAAAAAAAAACCCTCACCACGTAGAAGCCGTAGAGATTGTGGACATCGCGATGCTCCCACCCACCCTGGTGGACGGCGTCCTTGTGCATGGTGACCTCGGGACCGTTGAAGACCGAAGGCTCGTTCATGTCGTTCCAGGTGTAGAGGTTCTCCATGGAACCCTGGGGTCAAAGGAGAAGTGAGTGACAGGGAGAGATGGAAGAGCAGAAGGAAAGTCTTGACCAGGGGTCTTCAAACCTGGCCCTTTTATGACTTGTGGACTTCAACTCCCAGAATCCCTCAGCCAGGCAAACTGTCCACAAGTCATCAAAGGGCCAAGTCTGAAGGCCCCTGGTCTTCACAGACCAGGAAGCTCCCTACCTCGTACTGGTCGTAAGCAAACATGCTGGACCACCAGGAACGCATCTCGGGGTTGGTGAAATCGGGATAGCCCGCAGAACCTGAACTCAAGACAGAGAAAGGACTTTAACGTTGAGCCGAGCCTTCTTTTCAATAGTTGCGTCAGTTGTGTCCGGAAGGGGAACGGAAGATTCCAGATTGTACCAGAAACTGGATGCATCTTAAGAGCTTTTTCCTCACCTGGCCAGCACCAGCCTTCATAGTCATTCCCATCTTTGGTCTTGACGTAAAAATCCCGGGAGCGGATTTCATTGTGGATTCGGTAGCCATTGTCGACTTTGATGTGCGGGTCAACAATGCTCACCATCTGAATAACATGGGGAGGGGCGATGCAGCGAAGTGGTACGCTTAATATACCCATTTCTTTGAAGACCCCAGGGAGTCAGCTGCCCCTACCTCACTAGATATGTTTCTAGTTTGGGTTCTAGATCCTGGCCAGGCCAGGAATATCCAAACGGTGGGGTCCTTGGTGCTCTCTGAGCTGGGTGGTTTTCTTGCAGACGTTTCATGACCCAACTAGGTAACATCATCAGTGCTAGAAGGAAGGAGGACGACTGTGGGGTCCTTGGTGCTCTCTGAGCTGGGTGGTTTTCTTGCAGATTTCATGACCCAACTTGGTAACGTGAAAGAATGGGATTTACAGAGAAGAGGAGAAATAAGAAAATAAGAGTTGGAAGGGACCTCGGAGGTCTTCTAGTCCAACCCCCTGTTCAAGCAGGAGACCCTATACCATTTCAGACAAATGGCTCTCCATTCTCTTCTTAAAAAGCTCCAGTGATGGAGCATCCAGAGGAGGAGGAGGAGGAGGAGGAGGAAGAAGGAAGGAAAACCACCAATTTCAAAAAGCACCAACGACTCTAGTCCTCCTCCTCCTCCTCCTCCTCCTCTTCTCCACAAACCCCTCTCTCTTCTAGCACTGATAATGTTACCTAGCTGGGTAATGAAATGTCTGCAAGAAAACAATGCAGCTCAGAGAGCACCAACGAGTCTTCCTCCCCCCTCCCACTCCTCCTCCTCCCACCCCACACCCTACTAGGACTGATGATGTTACCTAGTTTGGTAACGAAATGTTTGCAACAAAACAACCAAGCTCGGAGAGCAGTAAGGAGTCTTCCTCTTCCTCCTCCACCTTGCAAACCCCTCTCCCTTCTAGCACTGATGACGTTACCTAGTTTGGTAACGAAATGTCTGCAAGAAAACCACCTAGCTCAGAGAACGACCCCACAGTCCTCCTCCTCCTTTCTAGCACTGATGACGTTACCTAGTTGGGTCACGAAACGTCTGCAGGAAAACCACCCAGCTCAGAGAGCACCAAGGACCCCACTTGTCAACCCTGAGCTACAAACAGTCTCTTCCATCTTCTACAGGCCAACTATGGCAGTTTGAGAAACTCCGAAACCTCAGGAAGATTTGCCCGGTGGCCGTTCTGTCCTTCTACCTTTCTCCTCTTGGCGGCCAGCCGCTGCAGCATCTCCAGGGGGTGGGCGAACTTGTTGGGGTCCCAGGTGAAGTAGCGCTTGCCGTCGGTGTGTTCGATGTCCAGCCAGATGACGTCGTAGGGGATGTCGTGGTCGTCGAAGCCGTTGTCCACGGCGGCCACGTCTTCCTCGTCGTTGTAGTTCCAGCGGCTCTGATGATAAGCCAGGGCGAAGAGGGGAGGCAGGGCCTGGGTGCCTGGAGAAGGGAGGAGGAGACAGATCGGGACTTGCCACCAGATTCACAGGGAGGCATCGGCTTATACAGGAAGTCCTCGGCTTACAACAGTTCATTTAATGACCGTTCAAAGCTACGAGACTGAGAAAAAGGGAAAAGCCATCGATCCAGAGACAGAGAATCCTCAATTCACGACGATTCGTTCGAAGTTACAGCAGCACTGAAAGCAGTGACTCACGACTGTTTTTCACACTTACGACCGTTGCAGCATCCCCAGGGACACGTGATCCAAATTCAAACGTTAAGTGAGTTTCCCCCCGTTATATGACATTTCTGGCAAAGGCTGTTCAGGGGATCCCTGTAGTTGTTCAGTCACTTTACACAGTCATTAAGCGGATCTGGCTTCCCCATTGACTTGACGTGTCAGACGGTCGCCAAAGGGGATCACGTGACCCCTTGGGACACTGCAACCGTCATAAATGCGGATCAGTTGCCGAGTGTCTGAATTTTGACTTAAGTGGCCATTGGGGATGCTGCAAACGGGCGTAAAAAAAACATTCCTAAGTCGCTTCTTTCATTGCTGCCGTAACTTCCATCGAATCGTCGTAAATTGAGGATTATCTGTCTCTTCCCCCATCCTTCAAATGGTTTCCAGACTAGATTCCTTCCTCCGAGCAGAATTGGGAGGACGGGATGGATAATCCCAGCCTCTCTGCTCGTTCTCGGTCCTCCAGACAAGCAGGATTCCCACCCAGCTCACCTGTGAGGGACGCGTATTGCTGGAAAATGTCCGTGGGCGAAGGGCCCAGCAAGAGGAACACGTCTATGATTCCGCTCTCCGACATCCAGCGGACGTCTGTCTGGGGCGTCTCGCCGCCTCCTTGTATGTAATCCAGCATCTTCCCAAACATGGTCTGCAGGAAAGAATTCCGGGTTAATCTTTCTCAACTTCAGCAACCTTTAAGACTTGTGGATTTCAACTCCCAGGATACTCCAAGCCAGCTAGCTTGCTGAATATCAGAGTAAGTCGCTTAACAACTCTCTCGCTTAGCAATGGAAACGTGGGACTCAATTGTAGTCGTAAATTGAGGACAACCTATCGTGTGCAGCATCAAAGCCCACACCTCTTACCTTGCCCGCTGTGTTGGAGGTGATGTCCACCCAGGTCTCGGCTGCGTTCAGCCAAAACATGCCGAGGGTGCGCTGGGCGCTGTGAGCTAACAACACCGGGACCGATCCGTAGAGCGCCATCGGGTTGTAGAGTTCGTACTGGAAGACGTCCAAGTTATAGAGACGGTACGGATCTCCTCCCCTGCCGGGATTGCGATCATTAGAGAAGAAAAAAGTCGCCTAAAGCAGAGGCCCCCCTAACCTTGCCAGCATCTCCACCGACCCCAAACGTACTCAGTGGTTCGCAGACGGAGGTTATCCGCGTGTTCTGGGATGCCGTAGACGTTCTCCACTCCCGGGAACGAGAAATCAAGTCCCACCGACGTTGGTCCTGTGGAACAAGGGGAGGAGAATGAAAAGGGCTGGGTGGGGTCGCTCGTGAAACACCAGCCCACGTTCCATCGTCTGATTTGAAGCCATCCTGCTGGATAAACTGGGGTTTGCATGAATCCCAGTTAAGCACCCCAAGGTTTGGTGTTCCGTGGGAAGTCACACACCGCAAAGTTTTCTCTGCAGAATTTTATTTAAAAAGAGGGAGGGAGGGAGGGAGGGAGGGAAGGAAGATGAGGGAGGGAGAGAGAGGGAAGGAAGGAGGGAAGGAAAGAAAAATAGGGAGGGAGGGAGGGAGGGAAGGAGGGAAGGAAGGAAGGAAAAATAGGGAGGGAGGAAGAAAGATGAGGAGGGAGGGAAGGAGGAAGGGAGATTATCTAATAATCAGGGTTTATTCAGGCCATAGAATCAAAACAATGGTAGCTACAGTGCTGAAAGGGACCATAAGAACAACCCCCCCAAAAGGCTGGGGAATTCTGGGAGTTGAAGTCCACCCATCTTAAAGCTGCGGAGGTTGGAAAATACTGAACGTAGCTGATCCTTTTTTTCCCCCAGCCTTTCAAATGACGAGCTTTTCAAACAGAATCGTCGCACCGAGAAATGGATTCCAAGAAGGGCTTGGAAATTTCATTTGGTGGCTTTCCAAATTGGAAAAAGAAAAAAAAAGGGGGGGGGGGAGGGAGGAAAGGAGAGGTAGATAATGCAGATAAACAAAGCTTAAAAAGCATCTATCCAATACCACGCTCTTACCATTGGGTTTTTTATCCGTGTGGGTCTTGAAAGTTTCTTCCCAGGATCCTGGATCCTCTTCAGCGTCCTTTTGGGAGGCCTCCTCAGGCTGGGGGGGAAAAAAATAAAATTGAAAAAGGTCGTCATGATCAACAACAGCATTTGAAAGTAGGAAGTAAATCGTAATTAATTTTTTTTTAAAAGTCCTTTGTAAGATAAGCATGGCGATTTTAAGGAAGGGTGGAGCTAATTTTCCGGCGGGCAGAGTTTTTCTTTCTTTCTTTCTTTCTTTCTTTCTTTCTTTCTTTCTTTCTTTCTTTCT